AAGCGGGGTGGGCCCCGGGGTGCGGAGGGCCCGCCTGTGGGTGAGCCTGGGAAGCGGGGTGGGCCCCGGGGTGCGGAGGGCCCGCCTGTGGGTGACCCTGGGAAGCAGGGGTGGATCCCGGGGTGCCGAGGGCCCGCCTGTGTGTGACTCTGAGAAGCAGGGGTGGATCCCGGGGTGTGGAGCGCCCGCCTGTGGGTGACCGGGAGAAGCGGGGTGGATCCCGGGGTGCGGAGGGCCCGCCTGTGGGTGACCCTGGGAAGCGGGGGGGATCCCGGGGTGCAGAGCACCCGCCTGTGTGTGACCCTGGGAAGTGGGGGTGCATTCCAGGGTGTGGAGCACCCGCCTGTGGGTGACCCGGAGAAGCGGGGTGGGTTCCGGCCCAGGGTGCCGGGCAGCGTTATTTGGTGAGAGGAGTGAGCCTTTCACAATCAGAAACAAGCCTACGATGAAAAGTGTGTTCACCTGTTAACTCTAACAGTTGGTCTCAGAGTAAAAGCTAAGGTCACTTCCAGAAGGCATGGTTAACAGTCTCTTTCAGAGTATTAACAGGTAGCTTTTAGTCCTCAGATTCAAACCAAGAGAAACTAGGCGGGAAGGCGACTCCCTTGGAAGCAATGTGCTCACTGGCCAGCAGGAAAGGACCGCCCCTACCACTGATTATTAATATACAAAAGTTAAGTGATTTAAGGAAGGTCAACGGAAATTCGGAGGTAGAGCTGCAATCTGAACCTAAGCAGTCAGGCTCCAGAGTCCTGGCTTATCGCTATTACATTATCCCCTCAGGAGAAGAGACTGCCTCTTCAGTGGCTTAATCCTGATTGTCTCTTACTTGTCTTGTTTCTGAGAATGACAGCCAGCTCTGGAAGTGAATAGAAGGTAGAAGATGCTTGTCAGTCAATCATAGTCTCCCTAAGCCAGTTTCTTCACGATTAAAAGTTGTTACAAGATTTAAATGAGATAATGGCACATCACCAAACCAAAAAAAAAAAACAACAACAAGAAACACATCCATTACCATCAAGTTGATCCCGACTCATAGCGACCCTATAGAACAGAGTAGAACTGCCCCATAGGGTTTCCAAAGAGTACAGAGGAGTACACTAGGGCATAGAGAGGAGGGAACAGCTGTATGAGCAAGAACTGAAGGAAGACTGTCTTAGTCATCTAGTGCTGCTCTAACAAATACCACAAGTGGATGGCTTTAACAAAGAAGTTTATTTCCTTACAGTAAAGTAGGCTAAAAGTCCAAATTCAGGGCGTCAGCTCCAGGGGAAGGCCTTCTCTCTCTGTCAGCCTTCTCATCGGTGCTCCCCCGGACTAGGAGCTTCTCTGCAGGAACCCCGGGTCCAAAGGACACGCACTGCTTTCTTGGTGGTATGAGGTTCCCCTGTCTCTGCTCACTTCTCTCTCATATCTCAAGAGATTGCCTTAGGACACAATCCAATCTTGTAGATTGAGTCCTGCCTCACACAACTGCTGCCCATCCTCCCTCATTAACATAGAGGCAGGATTTACAACATATAGGAAAATCACACAATATCGGGAATCATGGCCCAGCCAAATTGATGCACACATTTTTGGGGGGACATAATTCAATCCATGACAAGGACTGCAGTAATTTCAACAAGCGTAGCTTCTCTATTAAGCTATCGTGGCTTTCTTTTAAAGAATAAGGAGTGTGTGTTGGTCACTAATCCAGTTCCATCTTGCACATTGATAAAGAAAATGTACTATGCCAATCTCACAGCCACAAAGATGAATTATGTTACTTTAATTATATGTTGATGCTCTGTAATCTGTGTTGAGCATACGTAAGTATTAATATTTATAGGCTTTACAAGTCATGCTTCTTTCAGTAACTTAATCATAAAAGGAGACTCATTTTAAAAAAGTCATAGATTAGCAAGTCCCACTTTATAAATGTATAAATAAAGATCAACAAGACCTTTCTTCTAGTCAGGGCAACAAAAGGTAATAATTATTTCCTAACATCCTTCATGTATATAGTCTATGCTGTGACTCTACAGGGGTCTTTAAAATGGGTTTCAGGTAGCTATTAGTTCTCACCTTTCATTATTTTTATTTCCCACAACATTATGGGGTCTCAGACTCAACATGACACACACACACACACACACACACACACACACACACCCCTCCTGTTTTTCTTCTGTCTACCCCCAATCTTCAAAGTCACTACTCTGGAATCACTACTACCTTCATGATTTCTGCCATATCTGCATTTTGCCTGTATTATTTTTATTTAAAGACTCCCTTTCTTTATTTAACTTCATCCTAAGTACTAACATTTGTGAAATCATGAGGGCGATGTGCTATTTATCTTCTTTTATAATATGCATTTAAAAATATATATATTTGTCCTTGTGCCACCTAAAATCATCTTTTATACTAGCCTTTGAAAACGTTGACCTAGAAGATAAACTCTTAAGCCTGCATCAAGGCCAAAGAGCCTCTGTGGTCTGATTGCCCTTATACTTCGCCAGCCACATCTTGCTGCTATTCTCTTTGCACCTTATGTCCATGAAGACGGAGATCTTAGCAGTTCCCCAGCGTGTCACAGGGTCGATTCATCCCCCTATGCCTTTGTGCGAAGCAGCCTTCCTCATTCTCTCCTTCTTCTTAGTTGCTGTCCAGTCAGCTCCAACTCATGGCAGCCTTAGCATAACAGAGCAAAGCATTGTCTGGTCCTGTACCATTTTGATGATCATTGGTAGATTTGAGTCCATTGTTGCGGTTATTCTGTCAATCCATCTGTCTTAGGCTGAGTTCTCTAGAGAAGCAAAACCAATAAAGCATGTAAATATGTATATATAGAGAGATTTATGTCAAGGAATGGGCTCTCAGTTGTAGAGGCTGGAACATCCCAACTCCATGGGTCATGCTGGAGCCTCTCCTGATCCATCAAGCCACAGGGACTAGCAAACCCAGTATCAGCAAGTCAAACAGCAGGGCTCTGGCTCACAGGCTGCAAAGAGCAGTGAATCCCAAGATTGGCAGGCAAGACGGCAGGTAAGCTGCTAGCTCAAGTCCCAAGAACCAGAGGTCAGATAAACAGGAGCCAGCTGCAGGATCCATAGCAAGCAAAAGATGGCAAGCCTTGCCAGAAAGCACACTTATATTCAATGCAGGCCACACCCCCAAGGAAACTCCCTTTCAACTGTTTGGCTACTCACAGCAGATCCCATCTTGGAGGTAACCACATTATATCAAATCTCATCATGGAAGTGATCACATGATCGTATAGCTTCCAGACAACATCATAACTGCCAAACCCCTGAGAATCACGGCCCAGCCAAGTTGACACAACCTTAACCATCACACCATCTCATTGAGGGTTTCCCTCATTTTCGTTGGCCCTGTACTTTACCAAACATGATGTCCTTTTCTCTCCTTAGTGAATGTTTCATCCTTAAGGAATCAGCTCCATAAGTCCTCACCGTTGTAGTTTTCCTGGAAAATCCCTCCTATGTCTGTGTCTGCTTGTGTTGTGACATTTTTCACATTACTGACTGCAAGCACAGAGGACAGGTCTAAGTCTCTCTGTCTCACTTGTCCCTGACACAGAGCCAGAACATATAGTAGATGCTCAAAAAGGTTTGTTGGATTTAGTTGAATCCCAAACTTTAAATTTTAAAATCAGGTAGGAGAGTACATAGTTGGGGGAGTCTTTCTAATTCCTGAAAGTCTTCAATTAAGTCTTGTTTGCTGGTCTAAAAACGGACTCTGAAACTCAGAGATCCTAGAGTTGTCAGTTTAAGATAAGACCCGTTCGAGAGTAACGGGCCAAATTCACAACTCCAGAGCCCACTGACGCTGTTCTGCCTCAATCGACATGTATTGGTCAATACATATTAATTTGTGACTAATTGTGTCTGTTAGGTCACCTTAGAATTTGTGTATTTTAAAAGCTACAGGACTGGGACTGAATTCTAGGGGAATTCTAAAATCATCCAAAATAAAGAAAAAGTCATATTCATGATATTCTTACAAACATTTTCATGTAGAACAACAAAAGATCGGAAATAATTTAAACATTTAACTTAAATGGTTAAGTAAATTATAGTACGTCAATTTAAAGCACTATTTTTCTGCTGTTGAAAATGACAATAAGTGAGATGAAGGACATGAGAAAGTGAACACTAAATAAAGTGGCAAAAGGAGAAAGTACAATTATATTTCCTGCTGAGATTGTGTTGTTGTTGTTACATCCATCCAGTCAGTTCCGACTCACAGCGCCCCTGTGCACAACAGAGCAAAACACTGCCCAGTCCTGTTCTGTCCTCACAATTGTTGCTATGCTTGAGCCCATTGTTGCAGCCACTGTGTCAGTCCCTCTTGTTGAGGGTCTTCCTCTTTTTTGCTGACCCTCTACCGAGCATGATATTCTTCTCCAGGGAGTGGTCCCTCCCGATAACCTGTCCAAAGTATATAAGATGCAGTTTCGCCATCCTTGCTTCTAATGAACATTCTGGCTGTACTTCTAAGACAGATTTGTTCGTTCTTCTGGCGGTCCATGGTGTATAGTCATATTCTTCACCAACACCATAATTCAAAGGCATCAATTCTTCTTTGGTCTTCCTTTCTCATTGTTACTGAGATTACAGGTGTATTAAGAAAAATTACATTTAAAAAGACTTGGAGGAAATACAACAAAAATTTGCCTTTAGTTGTATTGAAAGATAATGGGTGAGATTTTTGTTTATTTTTCTCTTCTAACTTCCCCATATTTTCTGATCTGGGTTCGCGAGGGATGATCTGATCGAGACTACAGGGGAAAAAGGTACAAATCCTGGACTAGGGATAGAGTGGTCTTGAACCTGCTTACATTTCCCTTTTCTCATGTCCCTGGGTGGTACAAAAGGTTCTGTGTTTGGCTCCTCTCTCGGTTATTGTCTTAGTCATTTAATGCTGCTCTAACAAATACCACAAGTGGATGGCTTTAACCCCAGGAGAAACTTCTTTCTTCACAGTCTAGTAGGCTAAAAGTCCAAATTGAGAGCATCTGCTCCAGGGGAAGGCTTTCTGTCCCTGTCGGCCTTCTCATCAGTCTTCCCCTGGACTAGGAGCTTCTCTGCACAGGGTCCCCGGGTCCAAAGGATACGCTCTGCTCCGGGCATTGCTTTCTTGGTGGTATGAGGTCCCCCTGTCTCTCTGCTCCCTTCTCTCTTTTATATCTCAAGAGATTACCTCAAGACACAATCCAATCTTGTAGATTGAGTCCTACCTCACTAACACAACTGCCACCCATCCTCCCTCATTAACGTCATAGAGGCAGGATTTACAACATACAATACAAGGAATCATGGCCTAGCCAAATCCAGTGTCGGGGGGACGTAATTCAATTCATGACATTCCACCCTTTCGCCCCCCAAAAATCACATCCTTGCAACCTGCAAAACGTATTCACTCCATCATATCCTAGCTAGCACCAGTCATCTGTGAAGTCTAGAATACAAGTTATCTGCTTCCAAAGGTACAATGGCAAAACAGGCCCAAGCTAGACATTTCCATTATAAATGGGAGAAACTGGAGGGAAAGAAGGGATAACAGGCTCCGAGCAACTCAGCAGAACACATTATGTTGGCCCTCAAGGCTTTGAAAACAGTCCTTTGTTCTCTGAGACAGTTTACGCAATGGTCCTGCCCTCCAGGCTCTAGGTACTCGCCACACTCTCCAGATTCTGAGTGGAAGCCCCTTGGCCGTGGGCTTCAGCTCTGCCTTCCATGCCCACTGAGATAGCAACTCTGCTCCCTTGGCTTTAGGCACACCATTCTCCTAGTCCATCTGAGTGGCAGCTCCACCCTTAGAAACACCAGAAGCCATGGCCATTCCTTTTGATACTGAGGCAGCTCGGCTTCTTGTGTTTCTTATCTCTTCAGCTTCTGCTTCCTGATTCTTTGCCCTCACGCCTGCATCTGCCCTGCTGGGGCAAGTGTTCCAAAGCTCTGTAGCTCCATCAATAAGTCCCCAGAGGCATCGTACTCCACCAGGAAGCCACCTGCTCACGGGCATTCAGCTCTCTTGCTCCATGGATCGGCAAGTCTAGCTCCACCAGTAAGTGCCTGGAGGCGCCCCACTCCACCAGGAAGCCTCCTGTGCACAGGCAGCTCTCTCACTCCGTGGGTCTGCTCCAGTGCCGTCTTGTGCTGATCTGGTTCTGCCTGTTCTCTGCCGCAACTGCTCCTCTATCCATGCAGTTTCAAAACCACTTCCACGTGTTAGGTATCTGTTACAGCAGCACCCCACTCTCTTGGTACCAAATTCTGTCTTAGTCATCTGGTGCTGCTATAACAAATACCACAAGTGGATGGCTTTAACACAGAGCAATTTATTTCTTCACAGTAAAGTAGGCTAAAAGTCCAAATTCAGGGCGTCAGCTCCAGGGGAAGGCTTTCTCTCTCTGTTGGCCTTCTCATCAATGTTCCCCTAGACTAGGAGCTTCTCTGCACATGGACCCCATGTCCAAAGGATGTGCTCTGCTCCCGTCACTGCTTTCTTGGTGGTATGAGGTCCCCTTGTCTCTCTGCTCGCTTCCCTGTTTCGCATCTCAAGAGATTGCCTCAAGACCCAAGCCAATCTTGTAGATTGAGTCCTGCCTCACCAAAACAATTGCCGCCCATCCTCCCTCATTAACATCATAGAGGCAGGATTTACAACATATAGGAAGATCACACAATACCGGGAATCATGGCCTAGCCAAATTGATGCGCACATTTTATTATAGTGCTGCTATAACAGAAATACCACAAGTGGATGGCTTCAACAAACAGAAGTTTATTCTCTCACAGTCAGTAGGCTAGAAGTCCAAATTCGGGGTGTCAGCTCCAGGGGAAGGCTTTCTGTTTCTGTCAGTTCTGGAGAAGGTCCTTGTCATCAGTCTTCCCTTGGTCTAAGAGCTTCCCCGCGCAGGAACCCCGGGTCCAAAGGACACGCTCTGCTCCTGGCTTTCTTTGGGGTATGTGGTCACTTCGTCTCTCTGCTCACATCCCTCTTTTATATCTCAAAAGAGATTGGCTCAAGACGCAGTCCAGTCTTGTAGATTGAGTCCTGCCTCATTAACATAACTGTCACTAATCCCATCTCATCAACATCATAGAGATAGGATTTATAACACATAGGAAAATCACATCAGATAACAAAATGGTAGACAGTCACACAATACTGAGAATCATGGCCTAACCAAATTGATACACATATATTTGGGGGACACAATTCAATCCATGACAGCTACTAATCGAAAGGAAGGTTGGCGGTTCGAAACTACCCAGCGGCTCCGTGGAAGAAAGGCCTGGCAATCTGCTTCCGTAGAGATTACAGCCAAGAAAACCCGGTGGGGTAGTTCTACTCTGTACCACATGGAGTCCCCATGAGTTGAAATCGACTTGATGGAATGTTTTTTTTTTTTGGTTCTGGTAACACACAGTCAGGACTTCTTTTGGTCTAGCCAGGTTTTAATTTTTAAATTCAAATTTTTAATTCCATAGCATTCTTGAGGCAGGTCCCCTCTATTCTTCCCATTGTGCCAAGATCAGAGTCAGCCCAGGTATCAGTAGAAGGCTGCTTCTTCCATCACCATAAGTGCAGCCTCCCTGTGTTAGTTTCAGGTGTGCCGTCCGAGTGTTGCAGGTACATTGAATCTGAATGAATTAATAAGGGTTGCTGGAAGTAGAATGCCACGGAGTCAGAATCTTCTGTGATCTTAAATGTTCCCAGATGTCTGCAGAGGTCAGAAGATGGACTTTGCTTTCTGGTGCCTGTTAGCATCCACTCTGTCACTCCTTAGCAGGTCATCTCCCGGCTCCTGGGCCCCTGCAATGTTCCCATTAGTCCCTGGGCCCTGGGGGTAGTGGTGCTGGGTGCTGCAGAGAAATAGGATGGGAGCTGTAGTTCCCCTGACACCAAACCACTTGTCCTCTGAACCTCGTTGTTGTCTTTCTCTTATATTCTCTCTCTCAGTAATCGGCCCTGTCTTCCACCCAGGTGCACAATTCAGAAACCTGAGATCGGCCCTTGTATTTCTCCTCTTCTCTCACTCTTCTTGTCCAAATAATTACCAAGTTCTGCTTCACGTTCTCACAATTTCTCACCTGGCCTCCCCAGTAGCCTCTGACTCCAATCTTAAACATTCCCACTCTCTTCCATACTATGGCCAGATGTGATCATGTCACTCCCCTGCTTAGAATCCCTCCGAGAGCACTGGAGATCAAATTCAAACCAGTTAGCTTAGCATGGAGGCTCCTCCTCATACTCAGGCCCTCGCCTACCTCTCTGCAGCCGTCTGCTCCTCCCCTTGAACCATCACAACGTTCAGCCTCTTCGAGGCCTTGGTTTCATCACCTGTAAAATGAAGACAGTAATTAGTACCTACTCCATGCAGTTGTAGAAAGGCCTCTCCAGACTGTTCATGGCTCCTTGCCTTTGCACACAGTGTCCCTTTGCCTACAATACTTTCCAACTGGCTAATTTCTACTTGTCTGTCAAGATTTGAGTCAAAGAACCCCTTCCGGAACCCCTAATCTGAGATAGACGTTACTCCCCTGTGCTCCAGCTGCCTGTGCAGACCCCACTGGTAGCACTTTTTACGAGGAGGATAGCGTCTGTCCATCTCTCTTTGTCTCCAGCACCTGGCTTACGTGTGCTTGATTAAAGTTTGAAAAAGAATGGAACCAGACTATGCCAATAGCTAGCTGGGTGACATTAGGCAAGTCATTTGCCCTCCCTCAATCTCCCATTTCTCCCAAGGAGGTTGGACCAGGTGATCCCTGAAATTCCCTTCCCTCCAAAATGAGAAGCTTCTGGGAAGAGGAAACACAGCAAGTTAGTCTGGGAAACTAGGAGAGTATGTTGTGAAATAGGGTGTACCTCCCATTACTCTTCTTTTTCTCCTCTTTGTTTGCAGAGCACATTTTCTTTTGAAGAAGTCACTCAGAAGGACCATGCTCTCCCCAAACCCAGCTGGAGCAAGGACCTTAGGCTCCTCTTTGACCAGTTCATGAAGAAATGTGAAGATGGCTCCTGGGAACGTTTGCCTTCATGTAGCCGTCATTCCGTGCAAAGATTTCAAAACTTCACAAAAGCTTTTTTTTCTGGTAGGAACAATCATTCTCCCATCAAGAATATATATATTCAGATTTTCTACCTCAGTTTGTTTTAGTTTAGTTAGGTAGGTAGTGTGTTTCTAGAAATTTGTCCATTTCTTCTAGGTTTTCAAATTTGTTGGAGTGTAGTTTTCCATAGTACTCTGTTATCCTTTTTATTTCATTTGGATCTGTTGTAATGTTCCACATTTCATTTCTTCTTTGAGTTATTTGTGTCCTCTCCTGTTTTTCTTGTGTCAGTTTGGCCAATGGTTTGTCAGTTTTGTTGATCCTTTCAAAGAACTAACTTCTGGTTTTGTTGATTCTTTCTATTGTTTTTCTATTCTCCATTTCATTTATTTCTGCTCTGATCTTTATTATTTCCTTTCTTCTGGTGATTGTGGGCCTTTTTGCTGTTCTATTTGTTCTAGTTTATAGCTCATGTTTTGATTTTATCCCCTTCTTTTTTGATGCATGCATCTATTGCTATAAATTGACCTCTGAGCACTGCCTTGATGTGTCCCAAAGGTTTTGGTGTGATGTGTTTTCATTCTCGTTTGATTCCATCTTTGATTTGTTCTATTACCCAGTGGTTTTTAAGCAAGGTGTTATTCAGTTTCCATGTATTTGGTTCTTTTTCCTTGTTCTTCCTGTTACTAAGTTCTACTTTTATGGCGTTGTGATCAGATAAGATGCTTTGTTTTATCTCAGTGTTTTGGATTTTGTTGAGGGTTGCTTTGTGGCCTAAGATGTGGTCTATTCTGAAGAACATTCCATGTGTGTTGGAAGAGAATGTGTACTTTTCTCCTGTTGGGTGGAGTATTCTATATATGTCTGTAAGGTCAAGTTGGTTGATTGTGGCCCTTCCATCTTCTGTATCTTTGCTGAATTTCTTTCTAGATGTTCTGTCCTTTACTGAGAGTGGTGTATTGAAGTCTCCTACTACTATTATGGAACTGTCAGCTTCTCTTTTCAGTGCTGTTAGAGTTTGTGTATTTTGGAGCCCTGTCATTAGGTGCATGGATATTTATTACAGCTATGTCCTCATGGTGGATTGTCCCTTTAATCATTATATGATGTCTTTCCTAGTCTTTTCTGGTGGATTTTGTTTTGAAGCATGTTTTATTTCGGATTAGTATCGCCACTCCTGCTCTTTTCTTTCGTTCCCGTTTGCTTGATATGTTTTTTTTCCATTGTTTGATTTTTAATATATTTATGTTTTTGTTTCTAAAGTGTGTCCCTTTTGGACAACATATTGATGGGTCCTGTTTTTTATCCATTCTGTCACTCTTTGTCTCTTTATGGGTGCATCTCAGTCATTTACGTTCAGTGGGATTATTGATGAGTGTGAGTTTATTGCTGTCATTTTGTAGTGCTTTTTTTGTGGGGCTGGTGTTTTCTTTGTTCTTCTTATTCCCTTGTGTTGAATTCCTTTTGTTTGTGTATTTTTTTGTTTCTTTCATTTTTGTAGATTTTGTATTTACTAAGACTTTGTTTTTCTTCTTTCTTTTGATGAGTAGGTTTATTAACTTTCTTTGTGGTTACCTTGAAATTCTACCCCTGTTTTCCTAAGTTTAAACCAGTCTTTTATTACTTGATATCACCTTGACTTCCTCTCCATTTGAAATTTCTATACCTATACTATTTATTCCCTCTTTTATTATTACTTGATATCACCTTGACTTCCTCTCCATTTGAAATGTCTATACCTATACTATTTATTCCCTCTTTTATTGCCCTGACATGATTGTCATTTCCAGATTGACCTCTGTGGTTCCCTGCTGTAAATCTTTTCGTTTTGTTTTATTCTTGAGAGTTCGTTACCTAGGTATGTATCTGGCTGATGCTGTCCTGTGTCCGAGACTCAGGTTGTTGTCTGATGTCCTTGGTTGTCTACCAAAGGACTACCTTTAACAATTCTTGTAAGGTTAGTTTGGTTTTTACATAGTCTATTAATTTCTGTTCGTCTGGAAATGTCCTAATTTCGCCATCGTATTTGAGTGAGAGTTTTGCAGAATATATTCCTCTTGGTTGGCAGTTTTTTTCTTTCAGAGTTTTATATCTGTCATCCTGTTTCCTTCTTGCCTTCATGGTTTCTGCCAAGTAATCAGAGCTTAGTCCTGTTGTTTCTGCTTTGTATGTGAGTTTTTGTCCATCCTATATGGAGTTTGTTGAGCTTCTTAAATAGTCAACTTTTCATTTTTCATGATATTAGGAAAGTTTTTGGTCAGCAAGTCTTCAATGATCCTCTCTCTGTTTTCCGTTTTCCCCCCAGTTCTGGAACTCCAGTCACGCACAGATATTTGCTTTTGGTTGTATCCCTCATTGTTCTCAGGGTTTCTTCATTTTTCTTCATTCTTTTTTTCTTCATTTTTCCTCAAAGTGGTATCCAAGGAGATGTCTTCAGTCTCACTGATTCTGTCCTCCATTGTTTCAAGTCTGCTCCTAAAAACTTGTGTCCATTTCTGAAATCTTACTGTTATCTTTTGGATTTCTACTGTTTTTGTATGATTTCCAGTTTTTTGTTTATTTTCACATTTTGTTCCTGTATTATTTTCCTGAATTTTCCATTGGTTTGTCTGTGTGTTCTTTGATTTTGTCTGTATTTTCCACAATTTTGTCTTGTTTTTCCTTATTTTTGTCCGCATTTCCCTTCATTTCTTGTAGAGCCCTGAATATTAGAGTTCTGAATTTCCTATCAGGTAGTTCCAGTGCCGTATCTTCTACTGGAAGGTCATCTGGGGTTTTGTTTTGGTCGCTTTCTGGAGCCATCCTGTCCTGTTTTTTTAATATGTTTTGATATTGTTTGCTGTCTTTGGGACATTCAGGGATTATTATCTTCTTTTATTGATGGTGGATTTGATTTTTTCATCCTGCTTTTTTGTTTTATTTGGTTATGTGTGAGCAAGCAGGCTGGGCTTTGTTGCTTGCTCGTCTGTGGGCACAGTACTTCTCACTACCTTGTCAAGGTGGGCAGGGCCGGTCACTGAGCTCTGGTGCAGCAGGGCAGGTCCACTAGGGGGAGGGGCAGGAATGGGTAGTTTGTGACACATTCTGGGGCCAACAGGGTGGGGCTGGAGTCATTTCAGGGCAAGGTCTGGTGGTCTGTGCCAGTGCTGTTCAGAGGCGCAACACTGGACACGCGGTGCAGATAGGCAGGAGTGAAGGGAGAGGATGTGATGTGTGGCGCAAAGTGGGTTGAGAGAAAGGAGAGAGATGCAGAAGCAAAAAAAAAAAAGAAGGAAAATAAATAAATAAAATGGCAGCGCAGTAGGATTCAGTGGGTGGGGCGGTGCAGACCTGGGGAGGCCGTGTGCTGGTGCCTCTGTAGCTGAGCAGCGCAGCTCAGCCTGTCGAGAAGGAGTGTGGGTGGCACACAGGGCTAGGTGGGCAGGAGAAGGGAAAGAGGGAGAAGAAGCAACAACAAAAGAAAAACAATAACAAAAAATAAATAAATAAATATGGTGCCGGGGGAGCTGGCTGTTGGGGACAGGGCGGAATTGGGGTGGTGGTGAACTGATGTCTCTCTCCCTAGGTGGCACGGCACGGTCTGTCAGGAAGGGGTGGAGGCAGCGCAGGGCCTACATGGGAGGAAGAAGGAAAAAGGTGAAGGGGAAAGATAAAGAAAAATAAAAACATAGCCCTGAGGGAGTCGGCCTGTGGAGGCGGCGCAGGCCTAGGGAGGCCACGTGCCAGAGGTAGTCTTGCCCAGCGGTATAGCACAGCCCGTCGAGAAGGGAGGGGTGGCGAACAGGGCTAGGTGGGTGGGAGGAAGGAAGGAAGGGAATGAGAAAGAAGAAACAACAATAACAGCAAAAAAGAAAAAACAAAAATGGCGCTAAGAGAGTCCAGTGAGGGCAGCACAGACCTGGGGAGACCGTGTACCAGTGGCTGTCTAGCCAAGGGGTGTAACACGGCCTGTCAAGAAGGGGTGGGGACAGCACGCAGGGCTAGGTGGGCAGGAGAAGGGACCGGAAGGAAGAGAGAGAGAAAGAAGAAACAAAAAAAAATAACAACAACCAAAAAATGGCCCTGAAGGAGCCTGCCGGTGGGGCAGTGCAGACCCAGAGAGGCCACGTGCTGGTGGCTCTCTGAGCAGTGTGGCACAGACTGTCGGGATGGGGCAGGGATGGAACACAGGGCTAGCTGGGTGGGAGAAAGGAAAGGAAGGAAGGGAGAGAGAAAGAAGAAACAAAAAAACAATAACAACAACAACAAAATGGCACTGAAGGAGCTAGGTGGTGGGAGCATGGCGGGCCCAGGCATCAGTGAGCTGGTGTCTCTCTGGCCCAGTGACCGTGGCCTGTTGGAAAGGGGCAGAGGCCGTGTAGGGGGAAGAAGGGTGGAGGGTGGAAAGCGTGTATCCGTGGTTACTGGGTACTCTCTCTCCTGTTGGGAGCTCCGTGAAGTTGCCTTCCTGTACTCCCTGTCCACTGTTCTTGGTGGCTGAGATCCAAGGCGGCGAATTGATGCCGCGTTAGCTAGTAGGGGACCTCCACTCTGTAGCTCTCCTCGTATTCTGTTCTCTGTCAGTTTCTTATTCCCTTCGGTGCATGATCAAGTTCTTTCTCTCTTCATTTGACACTTTGGGTTCCAGGATTGACATTTGTATGTTTTACTTAGTTTTTTTGGTCTTTGCTGTAGAGGGACATCATGGTGCTTCTGTCTGTAGCGCCAAGTTGGCTCTGCCTCCCTCCCCCAGTTTTATAGGCCAGAAATCTCAATACAATTTTCAGATTGTGGGAAAGCATAAAGCCTACTGTTAAGAATAAGATTGCCTTCCCTGGCCTCCTCATCACCGTTGGCAGGAGGGAAGAAGGGGTTCTACTCTCCCACAACCTCATTACCTCTGTCTTGCTGTCAACACTAATTTCATTTACCCTTTATCCCTGCATGTGGGATAAATACCGTTGTATATGCCCTATTTGTCACCCTAAGAAGCTCAGGATGCTCAGGTCACCCCCTCATCTCCCAGACTAAACCCCGAGACAACCCACCTCACCCCCAACACA